TTTTGTTTACAATAAATAATTTTAAAATAACACATGCTGTTTATCTTTAGTTGGAAAAGTAACAAAGAAATTAGCATAGTGTCATTTCGAAATTTCTTTTAAAATTTTACATATTTAAAATTTACATTACGAAATTACTTTTAAAAAAAGATAAAAAAAGTTATTTATTAAGTAAGCTATATTTGCTTGTGACGCATTTTAGTGTAAGCATTTTAATATTAAGTTAACAAATCATTTGTGCTTATAAATGTTTTCAAGATTTGCAATTTTTACCAATTTTTTTTTAAATTTACAAATCAAAATTTTTAATAAACAAATAAAAGAAGCTTAGTTTAGTAAAACAAAATTTACAAATACAAAAATCAATTTTTATTAATTTGCACATACTAAAGTTACCACTTTAGCTAAATTTATCGCTAAATATTACTTGCGCGATCAACAAATCTTCCCCGGCGTTAGTTGTTTATTGAATTTAATTCTAAAATACCATGAAGCAGTGAAATTTCTTTTCAATAACTTTTTATTCCATAGAAATTCTATTCGATTACAAAAAATTCACTCAAAAGACATTGACGTTCTATTTGTCTAAAGCAACAAAAACTTTTTTAACAACGAAAACTTTTTAATTTTTAACATTCTATTTGAAAAAATTCTATTGAAAAACGTTTCGCTTCAAAGACCTTAATATTCTTGAATGAGTTTGACGTTCTATTAGTAATTTAGATTCAAGTCAATAAAATAAAAGCGGCAACAAAATGCCTTCAAATAATGGAAAATACTATTTTAAAAAGAAATATAAAAAAATTCAATCAAAAACTATTGTAAAGTTATTTGAGAAACGTAAAGAAACAAGTGTGCAAAACTATAGTCAACAATGTACATCAATAGTAAGTGAAAGTCCTCATCCGTCTATCAGTAGTAAGCAAAGTTATCATCATTCTACATCAGTAGTAAGCGAAAGTCCTCATCGGTCTATATCAGCAGTAAATGAATGTACTTATCAGTCTACACCAGTATTGAGGCAAAAACCTCCTCAGTCTGCATTAGCAGTAAGTGAAAATGCTCATCATTCTACATCAGTAGTATACCAAAGTCCTCATCAGCCTCCATCAACAGTAAGCGAAAACAATGAAAACACGATTCTTTTAACATCAGTTCTTGGAAAAAGAAAAAATAAGAAAGTCAAACCAGCACAAATACCAATCAAAAATGTAGAAGACCTACGACTCAAAACAACACAAAAGTATGAGGTGTTATTTCCCGATTTTTTTTATTCGTCATCAAAACAAGGTTGGTTTTGTAAATTTTGCATATCGTTTGCCCCTGGAAAAAAAGTAGTCGTGCATTTATTGAAAACCCTGGCAAATTTGCAGATCACTCCTCGGAGCGTGCTAACGATCACTTAAATACGCATAGGCATACTATAGCTTTACAAAATAAACAAGCTTTGGATGAAATGTCTAAGCAAGACTCGAATATCTGGAAAATGCTGCGTGAAAATACCCTTGCAAAAGAAACATTAAAAACAAGCACTTCTCGCTTCGTTATTAAAACCTTCTTTCGAGTCACGCATTTGTTAATCATTAAAAACTGGGCACATACTCATATTTTTTCCGACATTATTGAACTTATTGCTGCGTGTGGTTGTAAGCAAGTTAAGGCGCACGTTTTGTCTAGCCCAGCAAATGCAACATACATGTCTCCGGAATATATTGCTAAGTATATAAATATTATCTTTGATTTCATCAAAAATCCTCTACTCCAGTAACTTAAAAATGGTGGTAGTTTTTCTTTTTTTTCGGATGAAACTGCTGATATTACGTCGATTGAACAGTTAACTATATATGCCACTTTTGAACACAACAGCATCGTAAAAGAACATTTTATAGGATTAGTTCCTTTAAGTAAGCTCACCGGCTCTAGTCTATCAGCTCCAAATGTTTTTGATGTTATTCAAAAATTTTTTAGAGCTAATAATATCTCATTTAAAAATGCTCGCTTTGCTTGTATGGACACAACAAGTGTTAATTCTGGTATAAAAGGAGGTTTAAAAGCCTACATCGAGGATGCTGTGCCACTGTGTGTTTGGGTTGGGTGTACAAGTCATAAACTTGGGTTATGTTTTAAACATATTTTAAAGGACTTTCCTACTATTATAGAGGTAGATATTTTTTTACTTAACCTATGGAAGTTTTTTAAGTACCGCACACTAGCCATGCATTTGCTGCAGGAATGCTCCGAAATCTACGGAGAACTAGAAACCATTGTTCCAGTGTGTCCAAGTGGAACACGTTGGACTGCACACGATCGAGCTTGTTTAGTCGTGTTTAAAGGTTATAAACCGATTTTACAAGCATTGTCAACATGCTATACCGAACGAAAAGAAGCAGATGCGCTCGGGCTATTTATACAAGCGAGTTCACAATCTAACATCGCAACAATACTAATACTTTTAGATGTCTTTGAAGCAATTCGCCCGCTTGTCCTAGCGTTACAAAGTTCGCAAGTGGGAATTAGTCTCAGCGACAGTTTAGTTGATTTAATCTCGGGTACTCGACGAAAGTATTTCACGCAAAAAAATTTATCGAAATGAAATTAGTGACAGATGAATTAGCTTTTTCGTTACCAGCGACGAGCCGATTAAAAAAAATAATAACTTTGACTTAAGTGAGTTTGAGTTAAATGTTTTTGTATCTTTTGTTAACAGTTTTAAAAGTGAGCTAAAAAACACTGTCTTGCAAACGGATTTTTCGCAATCGCTTTCGATTTTTGACCCAATACAATTGCCTAAAACACTAAACCAACTGTCTAGTTATGGTAAAGAAAGCTTAGAGCAACTTATAACTCACTATGGCAGACCAAAAAGCAGCAACAAATTTGGAGCATTACACATTCAAGTTCCAGATATCTCAGAAACCGAGACAAAAAACGAATTTGAAAGTTTCAAAATTATTTTATTTACTAAACGCCGAGAATGGGAAAATAGTTTTGATATAAGTATATCGAAAGAAAAAGATCAAGTAGTCAATAATTTAATTAAGTCAAGAAATAATTTTACGCCTCAAGAGTTATGGAAAGTGATTAATAATGACCTGACCCTGTTTTGATAAGTGTTTATGCTAATTGTATGTTTTTAACTAAGTTACTCATTATATTTCCTTTGAGTGTAGCTTGCGTTGAAAGATTTTTTTCAAAATTAAAAATAGTTAAAAACCTTCTTAGAAATCAGCTAAGCCATAGCACATTAGAAAGGTTGATGATGATTGCGACAGAAGGTCCAAAGGAGTGTTTTGACGACGATTTGTTAGAGTACTTTGTCGACAAGTTGAAAGGCAAAAATCAAAATATGAGAATTAAGTTGTAGATTTAAAATTTACAACGTAAATCTCATTTTTATTTTTCTATTTGAGCTTACAGACAATTAGTGAATATTTAATTTTTGTAGTTCTTTCACGGAATCTTCTCGTTGATTTCTTGTATTCCAGCCGTGTTTTTACAATTTTTGTTTGTCGTAGTTAACTGAACTTTTATTTGTATGTAAAATAAAAGCTTTTTGTTCCCACAGGAAGTCCTAAACTTTAGAGCTAAATGGTTTTAATAATCGTTATCTTGTGCATTAGATATTATTAGACGACTTCTTGCAACATCAGCTAGATTTCTTGAACCCAATCATTACTTAATTTTCTTAAACCCAACCGTTACCTAAATAAACAATCGTAAATAAATAAAGATCGTACGTCAAGAAACGCTCGTTTAAAACGCGCATAGCGGTCCAAGTTTATCTGAAAGCTAACTAGTTTTTCTTATCGCCGATGACATTTAAGGCAAAGTTTAGAACAATGAAGACTTAAAATTTACACTAGCAAATTATTCATCGATAAAAGTTAGATTATAAAATTAGCTTGCAAAAGTATGAATATCTGTTTAAATATAAAAATGGTTAAAAAAAAGGTTTTAAGTATTTTAAACAAATTAATAAAACTTTTTTTTGAAAGAAGATAAACGTTAAAACTAGATAAACATTAAACTGTTAAAAAGTTCAGTGGAAAAATTTAAATTTTACATTTACTATAAAAAAACGCTACCGCCGCTTTAATTTTTTTCTTAAAGTCACTGTAGTGATTTCTAATTGGTCGATTTTTTTTTTTAATTTAAGAAATGCATGCCCAAACCAAAACCCTTAATTGATGGGTAGGCTCTCTTGTCAAACCGTAATTCAAAAACAATATAATATATATTGTTTTTTTGCATTTTCGGTCCTTAAGGTCCGAAAGTGCAAAAAAACGACTTCATTTAAAAGAGAACCCACCTACCCCAAACCCTCAGTCGTTGTTTGCACATTCCGCTGCATGTTCTCTCTAAAAATCAGTCGGTGTATGTGCACACCGCAGCGCAAATCCCTATATACCCTATTTGCCTATTTTCTAGAAATACAAGCTCGCGGACGCAAAGGATTAATAATTACAGATATACACGTCTAAATCATCGTTTAAACTTTTTTTATAAAATATAATATATTTTTTTATGATATTAAATATTACTTTAAATAATATTCCCTTTAAATTTTATTTAAAAGCGATATCAAAGTATCACACCGTTAATTTTTTATTTAAAAATAAAAGATGCGAGCTTTTTTTTTTTTTTTTCACTCAACAGTTGACGGCAACCTAAATTCCCAATACTATGAAAACGCTGTATATATTTTATTCCTGGCTAACACCCTGCATATGGGACCCATATGGGTGAGCCCGCCGGGTATCCCGTATGGGTCCCAGTCAAATCCCGTACTTTAAAACCATAAGGGACCCATATGGGTTTTCAAATGGGACCCATATGGAAAACCCATCGGGAACCCGCCGGATCTTGGCCGCGGTTTTCTTCTGGGGCCCATATGGGTATGCCCGCCGGGTATCCCGTGACGATCCCACGAGGTTTATCCATTGCAAATCTTGCAAAACTACGTTTAAATGTTTAAAATTTACAGAAAAAGCAAATTTATATATAAATTGATTCGTTTATTTCAAAAAAATAGTAATTAAAATACACTGCCGAAATTAAGCAAACTTTTAAACGATTCTTTAATCATGTATCGAATGCTGTCACGGTTATCTCAAGAATTGGAAACTTTTCCATTGTTGTTAAAACGACTTCTTTGAAAACCTCTTTACACAATATCTTGTTTCAATATGAACTGTAAAAAAATTAAATTTAACTGTTCGTTTTTAATTTTATAGGTAACACAAACATTATTTTTAATGTTATAAAACTCTTACGATTTCTCACAACACCCTTCAGATAAAAAATGTAATTTTCACCATCGAAGGTAGAAACAGATAACCTTTAATTTTATAATCGACGTTTATTTCAACGTTTTAAAATGTACTTGTAATAGATAAGCACATGCTTATGATTCGTATAATAAATTGATAACATTCCTTTAGTTACTGATAAATAAAGAATATAAAATTATTAAATAAATATATTTTTTTATTTATAATGTTTATAATTTAATATATATTGTATATACCTTATATACAGTATCGTTGTTACTACATACAAGCCCCCCTTCCATTCAAAAAAAAAAACCTGTCATAAGGGCCCAAAAATTCTTAAAAACATATCCAATAGATAAAAAAAAAAATCTAAATAAAAAAAAACTCTTACATTTGTAAACGAGCCCCCTAGAAAAAGCTCTGCTTTTATATATATATATATATATATATATATATATATATATATATATATATATATATATATATATATATATATAAAGAGAAAGAGAGAGAAAAAGAGAGACACACACATACTCCATACTCTCTCTCACACACACAAACACACTCGCACACACACTTATATATATATATATATATATATATATATATATATATATATATATATATATATATATATATATATATATATATATATATATATATATATATATATATATATATATATATATATATATATATATATATATTTACATGTATAAAACGACTAAAAAGTTGCAAATACCTCATTTGTCATAAGATTTGTCTGCTTTTTAAAACCTTTTTACCTTAACCATATTTTTTTTTTAATTTCAAATCAATTATCACTTTTATTAGCTGAAACAAAACACTCTAAACCTTGATAATTTTTAAACTGTAAACAGTATCTCAATGCACTGATTACTACTATCAAAATAATGAATACTAAACTTCTGCTTATATTCTTGTAAGTGTTTAATTGAGCAACTATTTGGTCTTTGAACAAGTTTTTTTAATTGACCTGAAAAAGTTTTGGATTTGAAAGAAGGACATCTATCAAGTACTTAAAATATAACTGTATTATTTTCTATATGTGCTAATAAATGGACATTGTACACAAGTTGATCCTTACGATAAAGTTCACATATAAAACTGCACAAAATAAGTAGCTGAAAAGCAAAATTCACATATTTTTTCAACAAAATAAAATATTATGAAATTATAAGTACAACTGAAAAATCTAAAAAGTTTGAATAGATTTTTGGCTAAACCATTCCCTTTAAATAACTGGTCCAGTGTATACTATAAAAAGTATAAGTTCAGTTGCTTTCCTTTTTTTTAATATCAAATTAAGACATTAATTTTCTAGAAAAACTTCTTAGAATGTAATGATAAATCTGGAACAATCCGCCAGATAAAATATTGTCTGTAATCTAAGACAATTTACAACACTTGGGCAATTTAACCATAAGTTGACAAATCTTCGCATTATCTCTAGCATACTAGATGCATAAAGACTAAAGGAAACTTTATCACCTTGTCAAAATTTAATTCAATTTAACACACCGCTAAGCTGTTCAGAATGCTTTTGATGACAAAAAATCTGAATCAGTGCATAAAATTAGTGAAATATGTAGAAGAATTATCTTGCCACACCACTCTCCTTTCAAAACACAGCATTCACATCAGTTATAACCATTGTGTTCTTTAATACACACATATGGCTGCTATTTTCATCACAATTGAGAGACCGTATTATGTACCTAGAGAGATAGATAGATACTCCAGACCTTTTTTTCTAACAATGTCAAAATTACATTTGTGAAAAAGGATGAATCCAACATTTATGTATGTAATCCCCAAGCTGATCTTTGATGTGAAGTATGCACGGCATGCTCGACAGTCTTGACGCATGAGTAGTATGTACAGCAAAGTTTTTTATCCATCTATTTAATTAAATAAAAGGATAAAAAAACCTTACTGTACATTCTACACATGCGCTTATGGTTAATTAACCATAAAATCAAAAATTACAAACTTAATAAAAATTTACTCATTTATGTTTGGTGTCACTGATATTTAAAACTAGTCAATGGAGCAACACCTTAATAAAATAAACAAATAATAAAACAAAGAAATAATAAAGAAAGTAAACTACATTAATACAAGTAATAAAAAAAGAAGTATAAGGAACAATAATATTTAAAAAGTTAGAATTAGCACAAAAATATAAAGGAGTAACGCTAAGAAAAATGAAAAAAAAAGAGAGAATGAATGGATGAGATGAGATGAGTGAGAAAATATGTAAGAGAAAAAAAAAAACTTAATCACATAAGTTCAGAAGGATAGAGTGACAGAAAACAATTTTTGCAGAAAAATATAAAAAAACAAATTAAAGGTAAATTTAAATAAAAATATATATACATACACTACTATATACAATATTAAAGGCTATATTAAAACCTCTAGACTGACCCTTTTGAAAGATTCCAATCCGGATTAAAAAATCAATTTTTAAAAGAAGTTAAAATTTGCTATGAATATATCGAAGAATGGATAATGAACTTTAGAGCATTGAATTGTTTCTAATGGACCCTTATAAATAGTAAAATTTAATGGAAAAAAGTTCCTTCAGCAGTTGAATTTCTAATAAAGGAAGTATAAGATATTGTTATTAATGACAATTTTCTCTTTGAAGAAATTCGAAGAGTAAATTTATATTTAAATGAAGAAAAATTGAAGAAATGGAACAATGAGAAAATAGAACTTGAAAAAAAATGGGAAGAAATTTTTCGGCATTTTAGAGTAGAACATATCCCAAATGAAAACTTAAAAGTTTTAATAGAAATTTCTTTGTTGTCCGGACACTACTGCTGCTGTTGAAAGGGTATTTTCACAAAGGAATGATTATTGGAGCAGTGAGAAGTTGCAACTTTCTGTAAAAACATTATATACCGTCTTAACAGTCAAACTTAATATGCAATTTAATATGTTCGGATGCGGCTACATTATTAGATGAACATCCTCCTTTAGCATAAAAAATCCACTGAAGAAAAATATTTTTTTAAAAGAAGATAAAGTTTTTTATTGTTTTTTCTTCTTTTTTTTTACCTAAGAAATACTTGATAAGTGTACTCTTTTTGAACTAAAAATAGTTGGTCCCCTTAAGATAATTAAAAATAAAATTAGATTTTTATAATATTTAATACTTAGGAAATACTGACTTTTTCCAAATATTCTTTAGATAAAAATAATATTTTCTTACATTACTCTAATTGAGGTAATTAACAACGGTAATATTTACTCAAATCATTATATTTATCCCCCAAAGTTAATGCAGTTCTATTATACATAAGTCTCTTACTAATTCTAATAATAAAAAGTTATTACCATTATTATTATAATTATATTTACTAACCTGTTATTACTAATAATTATCAAAAATACATTCTGGTTGTTGAAGTCACTTTTACTCATATTAGTATGCAAATATTGTTAACAGTAAGAGTGCACCATGCAGAAATATTCTTGAACATGCTGCAAAATACAAGATATACCTAAGATACATATCATATAAGACTTATTACCTGGAACTTAACATTTTATCTTGTTTAACTTACTATAACTCAGTTATAATAAATAAGCATATGGTTATAATCTATATAATAACTATTATCTTTTTAGTTATTGTTATTTATGTTAAAGTTATCAAGTTAAATTAAAGTTTTATAACTGAAGTTTGAATGCAAAAGTTCATATCAATAAAATTTTTTATCAGTATTATAAACATAAGTATTATATTACAAGTATTTACAAGTATAAGTATTGTAAGTATAAGTTATTATTATGTATATTATGAAATTATTGTTAATATTGCAAGTGTACAATTTTAAATCAAAGTCTAAAAATATCAATGATTAAAAAATGAGGTTAATGAATAACAATAAAGCCATTTTTTTGCATTTTAACATCTAATTATATCTTTATTTTTATCTGACTATTATATCTGATGGTGGGTAAACTTCGTTAAAATCAGTCATTTTGCTTGCATAAAATATTGAAAAATCAATGGAAAAGAGTGGATCTGTAAAAACGATTTAAAACTTTAATTTCCTTGATAAAACCTATACATTACATTCCATTTGCCTGCTTGCTCTTTTTAAGTGTTTCTGACTAAACCAATATTTTGATCAAACTCAAACCATTTATTACAATCACTAGCAGAAACAAAACTTTATATTTTGATCATTTTAAAAATGAAAACAGTGTCTCATTGGAATATTTACTATATGTTTAATAGTTTCTGGAACATATGTTCAACAAATATGTTAAACTTTGTAAATTTATTTATAAAAAAAAAATATAAAAAAATTCTTTTATAATGGTAATAAATAAATGAAATTTTAAAATAACGTCTTTTTAATGGAGCTTCACAGTGGCAAAACACATCAAAAAAAAAATTTCTTTATAATTATAATGTAAATGTAATGTATAGAAAAAATATAATGCATAGAAGTTAAATTTTTAATCTTATTTCACGCACAATACGAATTATAAATGGCACCCATCGAGTAAGTTTTGTTATGATTTTTTTAATTATTAGTTTAAACCTTTTGGGAACTTTATGGGAAACTCGTCAAATCCCCAGATTCTTTGGCCCTGATAAAAACCAGAACGAGCAAATATGCTCAATTTTATTAGCATATGGGACCCGTCTGGAAACCAAAACACCGTAAGCCCAGACAAAAACCGTACGGTACCCGTCTGTCAATGTTGGCTGGGGGGTAATCAAGTATTTTTTTAATACCTCGCTTAGAACTGCAGGAAATCAAATATTATGTACTTTTGGTCGCCTCAAAGCACGATGGACAATTCTTAAGAAAAAAATCGACATCAAACTAGAAAATATACCCACTGTTATATATGCCTGTTTTGTTCTTTACAACTTTTATGTATAACAGTAAAAAAAAAGTTAATAAAATGTATAACAGTAGACAAAGAAGTTGTTACAAAAAACATTAAATAAAATATTAATTTTGACAAAGTTGATTCTATTTATTCTTGCAACGCAGATGAAGGATCATTAATAAGAGAAGTAATAACACAATATATTGCTGTATGCAATAATAACACGTTATAAAAAATACAATAGTAACTACAAAAAAATATCAAAGCAAAACACAACTTTCTTCGAAAAAATAATGTATTCTTTATTTCTAGTTTGGTAAACTCAATGTTTAGTAAAACGTTTAAGATACAGGGGTGGGACCGCAAAATGTGAACGTTTTTGTTTTATTATAACTATTTTCTCTTAGATGTAGTTGAGTTTATTTGATAAAAAACGAAAGACAAAGTACTAATGAATATGTAAACAAAGTAAAATATAATATGTAAAAAAACAAAAATTGAACATTTAAAATAGTTCATATTTAACAGAAAATTAATTATTACAATCAGAAAAGTGTTCACATTTTGCGGTCCCACCCCTGTAATGTAAGATAAAGTAATAATTTTTTATCATTATTAAATACTTATTGCGTTGAACAAACACTACGCTATTGTCTGTCAAAACCTTTAGATTGTTCTTCTTGATTTTTTTTAATTAAGTAAGAATTGTTTTAAGTACTAGTATGGGCAAAAAATTGTTCTGATGAGGGTATCTCCTTGTGTATAAAAGTAACCTGGCGAGCTACTATATCCTTGTCCTAAAAACTGAACTGAGGTTTTCATGCTTTCTGTTAAAAGTTTCATCGACTTGAGTCAAAACATTTTCTGATGCCATGAAAAGTATTGGTGATCATCAATATTTTTCATTGCATCAAAAAATGTTTGGCTTGATTCTTTTATGACATTAACAACCTCTTGACGTAGTTCTATATCATCTTTTGCTTCTTTTAATAGCAAAGCATCACAAGATAACAAAGTAATATTAAAATCAACGATGTTTTTATCAATGTCAGTTTCTTTTTCAACAGAACTATTACATGTCAACCTTTTATTCGGTGAAGATAAATTATTGTTCACTAAAGTCGTATCAATTCTGAACTTAAAGATTTTATCGATGCTGAGCCACTGTATATTTCTCATAACAAATCAAAGTGCTATAAAATATAATCAGGCCCTAAGTTGCGTGTTTTCGCTTTTAAATAGAGTTTTTATTTACGATACCTTTAACAATACTTTAAAGTAAACAACTGATTACTATAAACATGTATGAGGAAGAGTTCATGATAAGTGAACTCCAATCACAACTTTTTCGGCGTGCATTAATTAAGTGACCTTACTAACAGTATGTATTGCACTCTTCCAACATCGTGCGCAATCCTGTCCGCTTATTCAATGCTATCTTTCTAACTCAACTACTTCTACCTTTCACTCTAACATATCTTCGTTCTTCCCAAAATCACCTTACTCTAAGTCCGTAAAGCGGGTATGACGTTCCTTCGGGAGCTCAACTAGTTTTTGCGGACTTCTGGTAAAGTGATTTCAAAAGCTTTTATTCCAACTTTTTAAAATGGACCCTGTACCGGGTACCCCGAGTCGGACCCGGTATTTTCTTTCGGGTACTCTCGGCATAACCTAATTTCGGCATATTTCTAATGGCCATTTTTTTTTTCCTCACAAAATTCGGAATATGTGACACTATATGTTTTTAACAGCTTACAGATAGGTAAAAACGTGAATTAATTATTAAAAATGAACATTTTAAATAATTAAATAATATTTGTTAAAGGAACATTTTAGAAACGTCTATATGACGTTGCCGAAACGTCTTTATGACGTCGTCCTTTTTGTTAATAAGTAAATTATTAAAAAATCAGTTAAATATTCGCCATTAGTTACAAAAAAAAAATAAAAAAAAATTAGTTGTTAAAGGGAGCTCTAGTGCATTATGATTCTTAGAGCGCTTTAACAACCAGATTTTAAAAATTATAAGCTGGTTAAAAAAAACCGCTTCCGACAAAAATAACGCTTTTCAGTGAAATAAACGATTCCACTGAACTTTTTTTTTTTATACCCTAAAAGATTGATAAATGCATCATGAATTGTTATATGCGTTTTTTAAAAAGGAGATAAGACCATTTTTTCCAACTTTCTATAGAAATTGCTATAAAACTTTTTTTTTTATAAAAAAAAAAAGGAGAAAAAAAAATTTCAATAGGATTTTTTTAGAAGTTAACAGAAACTCTCTATCGAAATTCTATAGAATTCTATATAATTTTTATAAGCCATATGTTTAAAAAGTTTATATAAATTTTATAGAATTTTTTTTCCTGGCTTACAATAAACAAATATTTTAGTGTACATAAATATGTTAGTATAAATAAAAAAAAATTTCTTAATTAATGATTAGAAAAATAATGTGATTCAAAAAGTACTTCGTCTGGTAATTATTTTTTTGTTTTTATTTTCCTTAAAATATGCATTATGTAATTTACCTTTTTTTTTTTTTAGAGAAAACGCTTTATATGTAACCATTTTCTTTTTTATATCCAAAAATTATTTCCATTATCTAGATCTATGTATCTACATTGTTTATCATGTTGAAGCTGTTTTCAGCTCTCAGTTTTGCTTACTGTATTCTTCATCTACGCAATTTTAAACGGAGTAAATTAAAAGTATTATCCAAATGAATATTACTTTTTATTAAAAATTAACAATTTTTGTTATTGATTAAGTTTTCTTGGAATAAAAACTCAAAATGCTATTATCACAGTGTTTATCGCAGTGATTAGTTTCAATTATTTTTTCTATATTTAGCTGTTGTTATTATATACAACAAGTTTTTAAAATTACTTAGTTGATTAACTAGACTAGTTTGACTCATGATTTTAAAAAGATAAAAACTCTATTAATTACGCACGATTGGCATCGTTTTGCAACTTTTGAATTACATTATTGCATTAAGATTGAAATATTATAAATTATTTAATTTTTGTAAGTTTAAAAACACGTCGTATTAACGTGTTAAAAATTCAATGTCAAATCATATTAGTTAGAAAATAACATCAAACTGATAAAAAAAATCTAGCTTTCACAACTAAGAGTAACAACGTAATGTAATAAATATAATTTAAACTATCAAAAGTATTTACAGCAGTATTTAGTTTCAAATAATTGAAAGTGGTTTTTTATTTTTGTGTTAATTATTCTTATAATTTTTTTGGTGAAAAGAATTTAGGTGAGGCAAATTTTAAAAATCGTATCACAAATCATAAAAAGAAAATTATAAAAACATAAGTATTGTAGTTTTTTTTAGTTCAACTTTCAACTATTTTTGGTAAAATGTTTAATTTGTGCTGCGGTGATATAAAACGAAAGATATCTAAAGTGTTTAACCCTTTAGAGATTTTTGAGTTACAAATTTACGACTTAAACAGAAATAATTATGGTTTATCAATTATATAGTTTTTATAATTAGCATAAAGTTGTTATATTGTTAAAATTTAAAATTTAAAAGCACAAGTATGCCATTAAAGGCAACCACTGCACCTATGATAGCATAGGGGAGGATGGGGCTTGTTAGGATCAAGGGTAACTTGATGATTTCATTTAGCCTTAGAGTCTTCCATCAGAAAAGGCAGAAATTATTCGGAT